ACCTACCCTCAGTCCGCCTAATCTTCACCTCCCCCTGTCTACAGGATATTTTTCCAAAGTTCGTTTTCAGAGGACAAAATGAAAATTTCGAAAAGTCATTTCAAATATATATTTTGATTTTTCATTTTTGAATTCGAAAATTGAAAATTGACATTGATGAGATAATTTTCTGATCGTAAAAAATGAAAAGTTCAAAAATCAGACAAATTTCATATGTCCAATTCACGCTAACTAAATTGAAAAGCTCTTTGTGGAGTGTTACACGGACCATATTTGAAATGACTTTTCGAAATTTTCATTTTGTACTCTGAAAACGAACTTTGGAAAAATATCCTGTAGACAGGGGGAGGTGAAGAGTAGGCGGACTGAGGGTAGGTGGGTCCACTAACAACGACAATAATTAAAAAAAAACCATAGAGGGAGGGGAGGCACCAAGGAGGGTGTTATAACAGCATGTAAACTTTGAGAGAAAACCATGGAAGAATTTTCGACCAATTTGTACGATGATGAAAGCGGAAGTGGACCCACCTACCCTCAGTCCGCCTAATCTTCACCTCCCCCTGTCTACAGGATATTTTTCCAAAGTTCGTTTTCAGAGTACAAAATCAAAATTTCGAAAAGTCGTTTCAAATATTTATTTTGACTTTTAATTTTTGAATTCGAAAATTGAAAATTGACATTGATGAGATAATTTTCGAATTTTGACATGATCATAAAAAATGAAAATTCAAAAACCAGGCAAATTTCATATGTCCAATTCACGCCAACTAAATTGAAAAGCTCTTTGTAGAGTGTTACACGGACCTTACACGGACCGTGTAGGGTCCGTTACATGGGCGCTTGGAGATACGAATTTTATCTTCGAGTGTTGAAAAGATCTCTCACGAGTGAGCGCAGCAAACGAGTGAGAGATTTTCAACACCAAAAGATAAAATTCGTATCTCCGAGCGCCCATGTAATATTCTGTTTATTATATAATTATCAATGAAGTATGTTTTGGCTTTTTCAGGCAATTCTTTCCGTGTATTTTTGAATAGCCATCACAATGGTGTTATCTTCACACGTGAAAATAACATGTTATTTTCACGTGTGAAGATATCAATGTTTCGAAATAGAGAAAAACAGATATTTCATTGGTAATTATATAATAAAGATAAATTATAGTGCTTGGGAACGATGAAGATATAGAAATATAGATAAGTTATAGTGCTTGGGAACGATGAAGATATAGAAATATAGATAAGTTATAGTGCNAGAAATATAGATAAGTTATAGTGCTTGGGAACGAGGTTATTCCGGGCGAAAGCCCTTGGGATTAAATTCGGAAAAACTAATTTCCGACCTCGCTTGGAATCGAACCCACGACCTTCGGAATTGTACTACCGATGCTCTACCAGCTGAGCTAGCTAGAGGTCAGACTGAGAACAGGCCGGGGTGAAATAGATGTTAGGTCGCGGTAATTATGATGCAACGATGAGAATATGTGTATGTATCTTCATGTATTTCATAAATGCTACGCGGTCCACATATTCTCATCGTTGCATCGTTCTTTTCTCCGTGAGTTATTTCTTTTCTCCGTGAGTTAATTCTTTTCTCCGTGAGTTAATTCTTTTCTCCGTGAGTTATTTCTTTTCTCCGTGAGTTATTTCTTTTCTCCGTGAGTTATTTCTTTTCTCCGTGAGTTAATTCTTTTCTCCGTGAGTTATTTCTTTTCTCCGTGAGTTAATTCTTTTCTTCGTGAGTTATTTCTTTTCTCCGTGAATTATTTCTTTTCTCCATGAGTTATTTCTTTTCTCCGTGAGTTATTTCTTTTCTCCGTGAGTTATTTCTTTTCTCCGTGATAGTTATGGGCCACCGTAACGCAGACGTTTCGCGACAAACCCTAGAACGTCTGCATTGGAGGCTATCTCGATGCTAAAGTACAATAACGTGCAACAATGCATGGCTTTCAAATTTACACAATGACTTTTGTCCTAGTGCCCTTGCTCAAACATGCCAGTTTGTCTGGGTCATACATGGAACTATAGGTTGCTATCAATAGACGTCACTTCCGGTAATATCTCTTTTTTTGATGGCTTGTAGAATCCTGGAGGTTGTTTTGATCTCTTGTTTTCTGGTTTGATGTCGTGAAAATAGTCAAATACAATAATTTGAGGACTTATTTTGATATGCTTTGACTTAGCATCCGCTAGTTGCACAGTCAACCGTATGCTAGCCCAAACGTGACAAAACTTCAAGTTGCATTTTTTCATGATCAAGCAGTACTTTTTGTTTCGGCCCTCAGGCCGAAACAGTCACTACATTCGGTTTGCCGGCCCATAATAGTCTCCGTGCGTGTCATTTAGCTGTCAGAGGTTTGGACCTAATCCAATCATATGCCGTTTCCGGTCCGTGTACCTTCCGGCCATTTGATTTTTAAAAATAAGAAAATT